GCGTATGTGGCTCTTTGAATTTTCCACATAGGCTGTCTCCTTCGTTTTCTGCACTCTCTCTCTCCATATTCTCAATAATCGTATTGTGCCTTGAAGTAAAGTCTTACATGCCTATGGTTGCTTGGTATATTCGCGAAAATGCAAAATGGAACTATCAATTTGTAAGCGAGATCCACAACGTGAAAATTGTAATATCGATAGCCTTGTTATAATTTGTCGTCGTCACTAGACATCACAAAAAGTCGGAAAAGAAAAGCTTGTTTTATTGTACCGATTAGTGTATGTAGCTATACGCAAATTGTACCTTCTTCATTCCGTAACGTTATTTGCATACATGCTCTATATTGCGATAGAATATTTGTTGGAATTGACAGTCTTCTTGTTGATGATAAAACAACGCTTAAGTATGATATCGCAGTGATCCAGTTATGATCCAGTCGACTATTGACCTCTTAACCTTCCTTATGATTATTATGATTCACGGAATGGGTATCTTGTGCCTCAAAAGCATCAAAGCATCTAAATAATATTATCATAGTTTCATAGATCAATTTCTCGAACTATCTCAGGGAGGGGATTAATGTTCGAGAAAATGAAGATTTAATTTGATCAAGCGAGTACAGTATGTATTCATCTTGATGCTCATAAAATAGTAAAAAGTGACGCTTAACTAATAAACTTATTGCTTCGTCCTTATCAGTAGCCGTAAGTAAACTTTAGGCACTTACAATGTGACCGAAAAGAGCAAAAGTTGCTTTGCAGAGGATTAGAGTATATGTTATTTAACGTGTTATTATCGACCGTAAGCTAATATACTCCGAACGGCATAGATACGTAGTTACCCGCTTGTAGTTTGGCTTTGTTTATAGTTGAGTTTGAGAGCTTCGAATGCCTTTATGTGTGATCTCTATTCGTTGCATGTTTAGCGTACGCTACTAGAGCCAAGGACTTCATGACGTCAAGTATGACATTTTTAATGCCTTAACTCTGGTCGTAAAATTAGGACTAAAGTGAATGCAAATTTTTTGTGTTGCGTACAGATTTCCTATATTTATTTTGAATTTCCTAAAAGTTATAACTTCACCTTTCATTATCATAGCGGAAATACGGGCATTCATATCGCTACGTTCATAAATCATAGGCTCCTTCTTCACAATAATTGTTTCAGGAGACATTAGAGCGAACTGCATTTGCTATCCTTTCATTCGAACAGATTGGTTTTAATATTGATCGCTTGCGATAAGCTAACAAAGTTTTAAGACAAAATTCTAACGATATTTCGTTATGCAGTCTATCAAGCGTCGATTTTCAGGGACAACTAAGCATTCCTTGCGCATGATAGTAAATTTGTGTACCGGCAAGTAAATAAATTGCGAATCACTTATCTCGGAAATAATACTTGTTGTCTTGTTAACGTGTCACCTTCGAACCATTTCCTACCACCCATATCTTATCCTACACTATAAAACTATTCACATGTTACAAGATTCCAGTAGACTTCTCGTGCATACACATATTATGCGAGTTGAGTTCTGCGGGAGGCATCGTACGCGCGTGTTTTTGGCATCTGATCGTATTACTTGCACAGCAAATGCAATGTAACGAGCGAGTTCCGTCTACTTGCTCAACTTACTTCCCTGATAATGCTAGCAGTCATATCACTAATACTATTATATACCAACTTTTTTTAAAACAAACAGTCAAATAATTATTGTAGATAAGCTTAGCTTCTTCAATAGCCTCCTTCAACATAAACCATCTCCTGACATCAACAAAAGAGTGAAGCCCATAACCAAATTTGTTACAAGATCATCTCTAACTCAGTTCCTCCTGTTGTACTATTTGCATCTGCATTTGTTTTGTCTATATATTTTTGGTATTATTCTGATTATTTCCAATTGTGCTAATCACAAATAAATGATATTGCACAACACCATTATCAACTTTTTTAAGCTTGGTTCCAATTTGGACAATAGTTTGTAATTCCTGCATGTAGACAATATTATTGTGATAAATTTAGTAAACAATCAAACAGCAAATATACAAAATTTGTTGACTGGATATTTAATAGATAAATTACTCTAAAAAGAAAATTTCTGCCATGAATGTACCAAAAATATCAAAATCGTCACACTATTCAATATCAAGTTCATTTTAGTATTTGAGAAAAGTCCAATTGCTAATTGTTAAATTGCCTTTTGCATGGCTGAAGAAAAAGTTTAGTTTGTTGGGGGAGAGATCTGTTTGATTGTTTGATTTTTTATTTTGGAAGGGAGGTAATGGGACAGGGGTTGATGAAAAATTTACTCTTTACTATCACTACAAAATAGATAGTCTTGAATTTTGCTTTATTAAAGCAATTTTATTTGATGAGCTGCATAATAAAAGGTGTTGGGCAGTATTAGTATATGGAGATATAAATTCAAAATTGTGTATGTTACCAGATAATATTGGATAATTGTTTAATGTTCTACTATGATGTACAGGCATTATTGGATAACTTTATAGAAAATGAATTTGATGAAATTAAAAAGATCAGATGTTGTGACCAATATAGAAATAAGCTAAACATATACCAGAATATGTCACTCTCTCAAATATTTTAATAATTTTAATCAGTCAACAAATTATTTTTTTTCTGAGTAAGCTATAGTTAAGGCTGCTTTGTGCTTCAGCATGCCTTTGTCAGCTGCTTTTTGATACAGCTCAACTGCTTTTTGTTCATCTTTTTCTACTCCAGTTCCATCTTCATAACCCACAGCAAGATTATTATGAGCACTAGCATGTCCTTGTTTAGCTGCTTTTTTATACCATTCAACTGCTTTTTGTTCATCTTTTTCTACTCCAGTTCCATTTTCATAACATACACCAAGATTATATTGTGCATTTGACATCAGGATTACCGTAGAGCGCTGACTAAAGTTCCCCGGGTATTTTACATTTCACGCTTTTTAGGGGGGTATTTTACTAGGGGGTACTTTGGTACACCCATGACCCATAGCGTTTACACGCTATAATAAAAACTGTGTACTACATAACGAATTCACGTGCTGTAATTCGCGCTAACAACCTACGAGACGTTCCCGCGTAGTCAGCAAGAGAAAAACTTGTTGTCATTATCATCATAATTCTATTTGTGACACTGCGATATTGAACCAAAACAAGCGAGAGAGTGGATAAACTCGTAAGTGTTGTCCATACATTATCGTAAATTAATACAGTAATAAATTTATTTGCATCACATGACAACATAATATCTGATTTGCATAATACACGGGTCTTTTACAATTTCTAAACTGCTGCAGGGTACTATACACAGGGGGTTTAGTCAGCGCTCTACGGTATTATTTAACTGTCATAGACGCGTTTAGTACGAAAACTTCCCCGACTGATAGTCGAGATTAATCCCATCGGAAGATAATCGACGTAGTACTCGAGGTTAAATAATAATTTAGGGATGGCGTATACAAGGCCGATCTAGCATCGTGAGTATTTGAAAACGAGACAAAGGTCACTAATTGTCGTTGTCGATAGTAGGGTAGTCAAAAGACTCTGTTGGGAAGACGCTAAATCTCAAGGTCGTTACACGATCGCATCAACATGCGCAATATCAATACAATCATAATACTACCATTTGTTGTACCCCATCTCAGTCTATAACTCGGTCATCTCAGTCCAGAACTGAGCAGGTCCCGAACTGATGTACAGCAGACTCGAATAAATATTATCCGGGTGGACATTCAAACAGCTGCCGTCCAATCTCCGGGGTCGTTTTTAACGTTGAATTACCGATTGTCTTTGTTATATGAATTGTAACAGAACGAGAAAAAATAATTTGAGTTTGAAGTAAATATTTGTAAGGAAACATACAACATTAGTATAGAAATTACCATTACGAAAGGTACGTACGGATTAATCATACTGCATCCTGTAAATAAGCAAATAGCATTGTAAACATGTTAGTAGACAATCATTAGTAATGAATAACAGACCATAAGGTCTCTGATATCCTACGCGTCAATCTTCCCCTCTACTCAAAGAAAAGTCATTATAGATTTGAACATGTTTATATCAGTGTACAGTATTAGTCTTGTTACAACTATTGCTAGCAGACTACAGTATGTCGCTTTTATTTCATATAATTAGAAGGCATGCCCATCTATTATTTCGGATAATACCAGCCTCTGTAAGTCTGTTTCAGATTTTGGCCTTGAGCTTTTTCTCGGTAGCCCCACATTGAATATTCGAATAATGTATCTGTTATCAATATAACAAATATGAAAAGGGCTTTTCTCATCTGTCACTCGCTCACATCGCTCTTTTTACTAACTTCGCATTCAGGTTTCTGCGAACTAGATGAGTGTCGCTGTGTCTTGGTAGGAAGCTTGTATTAACAGTTGAATGAAGGTGGTACATCGATTAACCGGAAAAGCATTAGCCCAAATTAAATCTATTATTATCATTAATTTTTTAAACAAGTGTATTTAAATAATATTCACCAGCTAGCAATAAAAAAAATTCTGAACCGCAAAATGGTACATCCATTTTGCCGTTTTTCTTGCTATATATCGCTTTATGTTGTCTACGTGTACGAATGCTGTTGCCGTTGTATTGAAGTGGGTTTGACGATTTATACCACGGAATAGCTTTTCGCTTGTAATTTCCGGTTTATTATCTAGCTCTACATCAGCCCAGAGAATTTCCTCTTTGCTCTCACTCCCGGAACATGCGAATATTGTATGTTTTTTAATTCTTTAACAAACTGTAACATCACGTGACTTAAAAAGATCCCCACATTCTTGTCACATGCTGCGAAAAGAGCAAACAATGGCTATATCATCAATTTTCATTTTTCCCGCTTTTTTGCGTTAAAAACATCTTGCATACATACAGTGGACTACCTCAAACTATAATAACTTATACAAAAGTGCAAGCTAAACATCGTGTCTAACTTATTACCGAGTATTTGAAGCCCAATAATACAATAAAGAGTTTTAATTATGAACTCTTTCTTCGGCTTCGATACTACGCTACCTCCTCTTCGCCCGGACGAGTTGACTACTTTGGAAGAAGACAAAGCTGACAAAGACGATTTGGACAAACAGATAGAAGATTATGCCCTTGAAACGGGCGAAAACTGCGAAGTGTACGATTTTGAAGAAGATTTGGCTGGTAAACTAGAAGAAGAACGAGACGATCTCAACGACGAAACGTTCGCTGATAGTAAAGAAGATATTGGTATGTATGTTGATCTAAAAAGATAATGGCATATGATTATTTTTAAACTAATTGTAGAACTAATGCAGGTACCGACTTTGATTGGACAAAGTATGGACCGCTCCCTAAACGCGATAACGAAGATCTCAAAGGTACCTCTTTTTTGAGCAGACTAGTCGATATATGGAATCACTGTCGTCAAATTTTTATCTATTATCAATCCATTTATCAATAAAAACTTTATCTCTTTTTTTCTTAGAATCAACACAGTCGACACAGCCAATACAACCAATACAACTGACACGATCGACCATTTCATCACAATCAACACATACAACACGAGACTTTCAACCTGCTTCCGTCGACAATCTATTACGTTACCCTTCTCCGTTATCAGTTCCATCAACTTCCCACATTTCATTATCTGCCGTCAATCCTCCATCAATACCCCATACAACATCCCCACCTCCGCCGGGCTTTAATCACACGCTGCCAACGCGAACATCAGTATCGTCTCTCGAAGAGATCGAAGCACAATTTATTAGCCAACAAATGCAGCAAGCACAACGGTCACAGCGGGTACAAGGAATGCAAAAACCGCAACGACTCCAATCAATACCCCCAATACAGTCCTTTCCCCAAATACAACCTCAATCCTCACCACGACCTGACAAGATAATTTATAGTTTAGCAGAAGTAGAAGCTGCTCTGATGAATATGAATATCAACGGAAGACAGCAGATGCTCATGTTTCCGCCGGTAGATACAAGTTTTCTAGAAAGGGAGACATCGGAAAGAGATGCCTCTACTAGAGAACAAGAAGCATGGTTGTTGGAAAGAGAAAAACGGAGGTTAGAGAAGCAGAGGAAGATGGTGGAGATGGTACGAAGCAAGATTTTGTTTGTTTGTGAATGAAGGAGCGGAATAGTGAGGATGGGAAAGCGTTTCGAGTTGTTTTGTACGAAATTGGTTAACTTTAGGATGTGGTTGTCAGGGGAGAATTATATAATAATTATCTATGGCGTTATCTTACGTTTCTCCAAAAACTTTTTCAAAAAAAAAAAAAAAAGGCAAAGTACAACGGTCTAATGTCACAAGGCGATAAAGATTATGTCAACCGTATTCAAATATCTCAACTGGTGACAGATGACCCGTATTCAGATGACTTTTATTATCAAGTCTATGCTGCCATGCGTAATCGCCAAGACCCGAATATCGGAACTTTTTCACCAAATTTTCGGACGGGTGGTGGCGGCTATGGTGGTCATGGTGGATATGATAGAGGCCGACACCGAAATCGTGGGTCTGACAACGGATTGCTCAAGATGCAGCAGCAATTGTTAAGAATCGTTCAAGATGCAAAGAGAAAGCCTAAATTAACTCAACGTAAGTTTTCATATATTCAAGAGTTTAAGATCAGTAATTTTTAAACAAATTACAATTTAATTTAAACTATTTGGATTATTATTTTGCATATCGTTAGTATCTCTCGAGGGCGCTCTAGGCAAAATAGCATTAAATTCTGTCCGTAATCCACGTCAACTCCTCCAGGTGTCATCGAAACACGAACCTTCCCACCATCCCGGTACATCTTCCGCCTCTACTCATCAGAGACGTCCGTCACTTTCTTTACATGGAGCAGCTGCTCGTAAAAAGGTACTAAGAGCGATTGAGAATGTTTATAACGCCGTGTTGAAGTTGGAAGAACTACGGAGAAATCAACCAAACAGATCGAGAGTATACGGTGGGGAGAACGAGAAAGAAGCCTTTGAAAATTGGTATGTATAATTACAAGATAACTTTTAGCGGGAGGATGGAAGGACTAGTAGGGTTTGGTTGTGGAAAAGTATACTCGTAATAGCTATAGGAAAAGATAACTTATGTCTGCGACGAATGGTTTGCAGGAATAACGAATATACAGAAGTAGCAAGGACTATGTGGGAAGAATTGTCAGTGATGGAGCCAACCAGTATAAGGTGTGTTTCTTCATCTTGATATTAACACCATTTCCTGCCTATCACTTAGCACTTACCACGTACCCGCCCTGTATCATTATTCTGGCGTGACACTGGTGGCCAACACCCTTTTCATCTGCATTACCATCATCACCATCATCACTTCACTTTTGATAAAGCCATACACATCCCTTTATAGCAATTCTAAGCATATCAAAAGGCAAAAAAGTAACTCCTCGCGCCCTCCGCCATTGCCATCCTGACCAAATACTTGCGATGCTTACAATGCTCGTAGCCAATTTCGAATCGCTCGACGTATGCAAGAATGAAATTTGGAACCAAACGGAGATGGTGTCAACAAGTGTTATGGAGGAAGTAGAATTGTTTATGAATACCGTGGTGCCGCCGTTGCTACAATTTATTACAGAAGCGCCGTTGAAGATTGTTATTGGATTGCTGGCGCTATTTATTGAAAGAAATAATATTGTTTGCGTCGCTAAAAGCAAGGTAGGTGTTAAGAGAAATATTCACGTTGTACATTGATTATATGCATATTTGGGATAAAGGGACAAATTTATGGATAATGCTTACAAGTTTATTCAATGTCATCTACTGTTGCGCTAATATTCGGTTTGATTTGTTTAGGTCGGGTTGGCATTTTTGACAATGTTTTTGAGTCGAGCGGAGATTTTGAAACAGGGTCGTGGAAGTATGCATAGCCACCCACAGACCGAAGAAAGAGAATTCTTGCAGTGGTAGGCAACGAGAATAATTAAAATATTCGGCACTGTTTGAAAAGCTTGATTTAGACCCAGCTGCCTAAATTTACTTAATTTCTAACTATTGTTTCTACTTCCCCTTTGTCACATTAGGCAAGAGCTATATAACCACCTTTTTACATTACTTCAAACACACTTTTTATCACTGTTTCCGCCATTTATTACGGGGATAGATGATATGTACGTCTGGCAATTTTTGGCCGCTATGGCTGTTGGGGCTTCGCATGAGCAGCAGTCGATTTTAGTAACTGAAGTGAGGTAAAGTATGGAAATTTATATGGCGTGACGATGGAACTCGATGGAGGAGTTTAACGTTGTTTCCTCACACTTTTGTTTACAATTTCATGTAGAGAACGAGTGATGGAGACGCTTTTCCAAGTGAAGCTTCAGTCTGATAAAGCGTACCAGAAAATTAACAATGTCAATTTATTTTTACATGCTTTGGGATTGGATGCTTCTCAAATAAGTATCTGAAATGAGGAAAGAAAGGGGAAAGACATTGAGAGCCAAAAACAAGGTTAATCCTGATTTTAATAAGGATAAACTTGCTCATATATTTTATTATTCTATTGAGCATGGAACTTGTTATGTGTTGTTTTGGAAATCATTGAAGACGTGTGACGATTTAATTTTAATGTGAATGTTAAAAAAATCGAAAGAAAAAAGAACGAGAACGAGAGCGAGAAAATAAATACAACAAATGAGACGACCAACGAAGCGAACCTTGTATAACAGTAATGACTCATAGCTTACTAAGTGCATCTTACTATTTTAGTAGCTGGTGAAGACAAAATTTATTCAAAGGTTGACGATCTTGCTATTAGAGCGAATAGATTATACTGAGATCGATGACATTGCAGAAAACGAATTAGAATAATGAAGTTGTGAAGGCTGCTTCCCCATGAAATTTTGGCTTTGAAACTGTACGTCTACTTACTGCTGCTGAATTATATAATGTAGAGAAATTTTCTTCAGCTGTTGCTTTTGATCTACGTTCGTGGTTTTACCGTTGGCTACTCTAAAATGCAAGAGTGAAACGTAGAGCAATCGTCTGCATACTCGTCAAAAATTATTGTAAGAGCTCAGCAAGTCAAGGCTGAACATTACCATCATTTAAATATTCATATTAATGATCATAAAATAAAGTTAACACAAATTATGTATAGTAATAGTAATAGATGGGATTTACAAAGTTAGTGTTACAGTAGACAATAAAACAGATAACGATGCGTGGGTTATATTTCCCATCATAATCAAAGCCAACCTCGTCCTACTAAATGGCCCACATCCTAACAAACATCAGATATTACTAACAACGCATACCAGAGGCGCATTCCTGACCTTCATCGTCGATTTGCGGATTCCACAAATCATCAACTCCACATGAACGAGTATATTGATAAAATGGACAATAACGTCATGATACAGTACAAAAAGGAATTAAAAATAAGCCTTTTGCTCCTTCCTTTATTTTCTTTTCTAACTCGGGAAAATTAAAAGACAGAAAATTGCGGGGCCCCCTATGTATGGGTGTTCCAATCATTTGTTCCAATCATTTGTTCCATCACCTGATCAGTTTCCGTTTTGCTCTCGAATGCGAGTTTTGAATATTACCAGCAAACCCAAAATGGTCAATGACGACGATGTTGCTTGTTCGGCACACATGTTCTCAGCCAGCAGACCAGCCATGTAGCGATCAATTTCTACTAATACTGGGATAGTCTAAGGCCGACGTTTACACACACATGACCGATTTGTCGCTCAGCTCAGTACAAACAGCTATCTATGTATTTTGTAAATCAAAAAGAAAAGAAACGTCCATCTTATTATTATACGCCAATCATTCGGAAAAAATGTCCTCCATTTGTTTGTCCATAATAATAACACAATCATCAATAAGAAATCATAAAGACCTCGAAACCTCAATAAGAAATCAGACTTTGATTGTCATTTCATGCTAAATATAAAATGTCTTAGCATGACCCAAATCGGAACCGTCACGATGTCCCGTAAATTTATGCAGTAGAAGTTGTACAAATGCTATTTATTGCTATCGGGAATAATGCAGAGTGAAAGCTACGAAAAAC